GTGTACATGGAATTTTGCGAGTGCTGGCTGAGATGCATGTCGCAATTTTCGCGGCGGCCTGTGTTGTCAGCTTCGTGCAAAACCTGCTACAGTTCTCGTTCGACGTCCCAGGGGTTGGAAGGAAGGAAATGGTAGTTGTGTACATGGAATTTTGCGAGTGCTGGCTGAGTGAGATGCAGGGGGCTGGACACAGCAGGCCCCCATAGTCTTTGGCTCGAACCCTTTTTAGCCAGAGGCCGGATAACTAGTAGTGGCCCTCGGCAGCCGCTGGGATTTGCAAGGCCGGTCAAGACAGATTGGGAGTTCTTCACGCCTTCGATGTGTTAAGCCGAGGCTGGTGCAAGGATCGTGTTTGAAACGAACAAGATGTCGCCTGACGCTGAGAGATCGTCTTGTTTGGGCTTCGTATGCAATCGATGCTGCCTGAGCTTGCGCACCAGCCCAATCCATTACACTGCCCATGCCCAGGAGTGAGCTCAGGATTTGCGAAGGTCAGCGGCCTGGATAGACTGAGCACTTTAACGCTGACTGTTCATCCAAGGAATATCTTCACAGCAGCTCTCTCCAAATCAGTGTCTGTTTATTTCGTCTGCTAACTGCAAAGCAGAAGCGGGCAAACAGGGTCTGTAGTAATCCGCCGTGCTGTGTGTTGTGGTGCTGGACATGTAGCAGGAGTTGCATAGCTGCACGTGGTGTGAACAGCGTCCACTCCTGCTGTTCACATAGTTCGTAGGGCCACGAAGTCACTAAGTCGGCGCCTGAATCCGCTAGAAGTTCCAGGTGGCTCCGGAATTTGGCTACCGCTCGGTGGTGACTGGGAGCGAGCCACAGCCTTGGAATACCTGGAGCTCTTGCAGCTAGCAGCCGACAAGCTCGGGACATGTCCCGGTGTAGGGTCCCTTCGGGTCCCTTTCGGGTTTCGTTGTGCGTGGATCAACGGCTGCATCTGAGGACTGGCCCACTGGCGTAAAGGCGCACTTCCCAGTTGCGGACAAAGTGACATCATCGTTATTTTACCTCTGATCGCCTTTTGTTTGTTGTGGCTGTCTGCTAGTCCTGAATATAGCTGCTGGTATTGTTGTTGCCTTGAAGACTGTTGCTGTGCCATTGTGGGTTTGAAGTGTCGTGGGGGACAAAAGCTGCTACCACTACTACCACTACTACCACTACTACCACTACTACCACTACGACGACGACGACGACGACGTATTACTTGTAGTATTGCTAGCACGACTACCAGCACTACGACGACTGCTACGACTATTGTTGCTGTTCTTACTGGTAGCACCATTCCAACTACCAAGACGAGAATGTGAACATCAGTAGTGCTTTGATGATGCAACTTCTTGTTTTCGTTCCGTTGTACCTTTCATCAGGTTTTCGAATCCGGTTCAGAGCTGGACTGAACCTGATGCTTAGGGCGATTACAACTGCAATCTCAGTGGCATGTTCCCTTTTGAGCATCATGCATGAACGTCCCGAGTAGTCTGACAATAGTGTGCAACATGTTTAGTCTGGCTGTTGCTGTCGGAACTACAAGCACAGCAATATTGCCCACAGCCACTGCGATGTCTCGGAATGATGCCGGTACTTCTCGTTCGATGCATAGTAGCTTCAGCAACAGAAATCAACCAGCAATATTCGCATTGAGTACATCATATCCCTGCCAAACCTTCGAAGCTACAGTGGGAAAGGTTGCTGCTTCTATCTGCTTTTAATGGCTTCAATCTCCTAGATGTGTGGAGGGGTTGTGGGGGCTCCCGCAGACTCAGAAGACGCAGGTTTGAATTGGAAAGAGCTGCTCACGCCGTCGCAGAGACTGCTGTTCGTCCTCTCATGGTGGACTGAGGTGGTGCTTTATTTGCTTGGCCTGCTCTACTGTTTTCTGGGAGTGGCCATCATTGCTGACGTGCCCAAGCTGCAGTACAGCCTAAACTCGATTTGGCAACCGTCGTAAGCCACAAACCATGGCAAGTATCGTGTCGTCTGCGCTTGGCAACAAGGACAGCCGTTCATAGTTTACAAGGCAGAGACAAATTCAAAGCACCTTCCCTTATCCATGCTGACATGATTTCGGAGCATGCTGCATCGCTACATCGCCCTTGGACCGGCTAGCTTTGGCATGGTTGGTTTGGGTGCCATCCGCGAGCCTTAGCAACTAGCGCTTTGCCTTCAGATCTAGATTTGCAGTGCTCATGAAGTTGCTTGGTTTGCCCTCTTCGCCTTCGAGTGTGCTGGCCGAACACGCACCCCACTCATTTCAGCCGTAAGATCATCCGAAGAGAAATGACGAAGCCAACTAACAAAACATTGCAGTCATGTCATCCTTCTCATCTTCAAGAAACGCCGGACGCATACTCGAGGGAGTACAGGTACAGCAGGGAGAGGGGGACTCATGAGTCCCCTAATCGCGCCAAAGCAATGCCATCGAAGTGGCTCTGTTTTCCCAAAAGGTACCTAGGAACAACATCCTTAGCGTGACAAGACGGCCCCTAAGTGAGCAAAACACAGGCCATCACTTCAAAGAAAGTTTCCTATGACAACGAGCCCAAGGCAGCCAAGAAGGCAACAACAGGACAACACCTGCAAGGGATCATCCGTGATCCGAGTCATTAGCACTGCTGGCCTCGGCACGAGTCAGCGCACGAGTAAACGGCAGGATTTTCAATCTGGTCGCAGCCAAATGATCAAAGACACCCGAGTCACCCCAACCAAGCCTCGCCTGCAAGTTGCACGAGGGTCTACGGCAAGGAGGAACGTTGTTCGGACAAGCCCAAGCAAGATGCTCCCAGTTGCCAACAGCAGCATGGCAAAGTGGACAGGTTCTGTCTTCAGTGGGCTTACGTCTTCTGGCCCAGGAGTAAGCAGCACCACTTAACACCGTGAACGCATTGCGACTGGAAACGGCCAATCGACGGGCATGCGTACATTGCTGCTCGTTGTACACAGCACCAGGACAAGCACAACTGTCAGTTCGACCACGCAAAGTCCAAGTACGAAACAAGCTACGCCGCCATGACTCGCGAAGCAAATGTGCCAACTTCTCAGCACCACGGACAAAACCCATTAGGTTGACATCAAGACTGACGTTCGCAACATCGTTGTGCCAACTCCAACCGGCCGCAGAGGTCGACCAACCAAGGCGACTCATGGATTTGTAGACAACTTTGGCCCACATGCTATTGCGTTTAGGCAAAGCATCACCATTCTTAACACATCGCCAAAGAGCCACGACTTGATCAAATGCAGTGCGGAAGCCAAGCGAAGCATGATGACCAAGCAACACGCGGCGAAGAGAAGGATCAGCTTGACGCGCAGCCCGACATGACATGGCAACCTTGCAGTCAAAAGAACGGATCTCACGCAA